ACATCAATACCATCATTTCTTAAACAAATTTCTATAATATCAGATACTGTTTTATTATTTAAAGAAGATATTAATAAACCTGAATTTGTAATTAAAGATGTAAGTAAATCTAATATATGTGTTTTCTTTTTCTTTTTTTTTCTCCCCTCAAAATATTTATAATGAATCTATTTTTAGAATGATTTTACTTTTGATAATCTACAAAAATTATTTGAATCCAATCAACTTTTACATTTATCTACAATTACAAGTGCAAATGTATTTAATCTTATTTGTCAAATAAATTCTGCTAAGTATGAAATATTTAAAATAATATTTTTTATTTTTGTCCTTGAATGTTATAAGTACACATGAAATTGTTCTGCATAATATATTTGATTTAATTCGATAAAAGCAACAAAAAAAAAACACCGAATGTTATTTTTAGTATTTTTAAATTGAAATTTATGTTAATTTGAATACTAAAAATAATTATATATAGATGTTAAAGATTAACATTAAAGTTATATATTCGAACAATCAAATTTTTCAATTAATATAATATAATACTGAAAAAAGAAAACAACAAAATTATTATTACCTTTCAGAACAATGTATAGCTTTACGCTTCACATTTCTCAGACGATTCATCTGAGATATGTCTGAAGTGCACTAGTCACCGAATACAAAAAAAACAACCGAACAAAAAGTATCTCGTATATTCGGGACGGCTATCCTATTCCGATTAGAAAATTTTATTGAAAGTACGTTTTGACCGGGTCTGAAAATTTGTTTTTCATATCATCTACGATTTTCTTTCATATTCATAGGTTTTGATGAGATATCGTTGAAATCTCCAAAAAACATCAGTAAATTAGAGAACAAAGCCTACTATTCAAAAAATTTCATATGTTGAAACTAAATTTTCGGCAAACAATTTAGTTGATTCTGTGCAGGGCTCTACTATGCATTTCAAACTAGAAGGCGAATCACTTCGAGTTGAATAACTTGTAAATGTAAAGAGATATTACGAAAAGGTTTTTTCCAACTTATAGACAAGTACGAGGTTCATACAATAGTTTTATTTTCGTTCAAACGTCTAGAAACTTTTCAAGTAGATCTTAAGAAAACTGCAAATATTTTCAGATACCCAAAATTGAATTTCAAATGTTAAAACTTATCGTCTATAGAGAATATTGTTCTCTTGTAAACTCCGCACATTTGACATCTCTAGTTTGTATTATTCAAGGTAGAGGTCTCTGATTTCGGCTAGTTAACTCAGAACTAGAGCCCATAGGGTCCAAAAATTTTCGGACCCGGATCCTACCCGATGGACTCTACTAAGGACTCAGCGAAACAAATAGATCGAGAGAGAACTAATGTACGAGTAGTGATGTTTGTTTTAAGTTTCAAATTAGTCTCCAACTACTATATAATTTTAAATTTTCCAGATATATGACGTCAACAGTCAATATGTTTTTAGCCGAAATAAGGAATTTTTGCTTTGAAGTTAGACATGTCGGATGTATGTAGTTCAAAAGAGAATAATTTTTTCTATTGATTAAAAGTTTTAATATTTAAAATTTATTATTGATTTGATTTGATATATATTTTTTTCTAGACCTTGTTTTTTAATAATCGGTGATCGAAATTTATTTGCTCAATATCATTTATCATTTTTACAACTTTCTAAACAATTATTTGACGAATATAAATCTCGTATGGCATATCTTGATTCATCATCTATACAACAAGTACAATTTCATGAAATCGTTTCATCCTATTACCATACAAATGAGAAAAAATTACTTGTAAGTATAAAAAAAAAAAAAAATGATTTCTTTAAATTTTGTTTTCAATAGATTCTTGTTGCTCGTCGATTATTTTCTGATACAATTGAAATACAAAATACAAATATTGAATTTGATGAAAAATCTTTAAATGAAATTCAACGTAATATAATTCATATAGAAGAAAATTTAAAATTATTTATTAATAATCGTTGGCAATTTACTAAAAAATATAAATTACCAATAATAATTAATTTTGATGAAAGAAAACAAGTAAATTCAATAAAGAAAAATAATTTTTTCCATGCGATTTATTTTTTTTTCAAAGGATATTTTCACAAGAATAATCGATCAATTTGCATATAAATGGAATTATTGGATTGAACGAAATCGATTACTTCGATATTTGTAAATATTTTTTTTCTTTTCTCAAAGATGAATGAGTATAGATTATAGCATATCGGAGGTGCATAGCAGTGTTCCTACGCCATGATCAAGTTTTGTTTTTTTTTTGAGTAATTAAATTCAATATATAGACAAAAAAATGACTAAACTAAATCCGTATTTTGCATTTATTTATTAGTTTTTTTTTTTTTTTTTATTAGATCGGGATATCTTTATACATATCAATTTTGGATGTTTACTATATTAATCTTTGTTTATATGTATTATTCACGATCAGAATCGGATAATAGAAATCATAATTTAAAACAATCTAGTAAAATTAAGTAAGATTATTATTGTTATTATTATTATTTGTTTTAAATAAATATTTATTTAGTCAAATAAAAATCTGTGAATTTAATGAAGCTTTACTTCAACAATATACAAATCCGGGTGCATCAAATGTTATTATATTAGTTCTTATTGCAGATACACCAGAAGATTTATGTGTTAAAGATTTTATTCGAGAAATTAATTTAATTAAAGAGTATGTATTGAAAATTAAGATAAAACTTCCGACAATTCATCGAAAAAAAATAAATAAATGGTTAAATAATCGAGATTTTTATTTTAGCTTGTCCTACACACTTCCTCTCCTTTATCTTTCAAATTACAACTTGACATGATATTTTTTATATGAATTTTGTAGAGTACAAAAGTCTCTACAAGATACACTATACTAGATTTTCATAGTCTCGAAAAATAATTTACAATGAAAAAACCTGAGTTTTTTGGAAATCTCATAAGAGACTTTTTTGTTCAATTTGATGAGTTCTTTCGAATGAAAATATTGCTCGAAAAGAATGTGCCGGAGTTAGAGGCAAAATACCAAAAAAACACGTTTTTGTATAAGATCTATTATCTTAAGATTTACATTCCATCACCTAGAACAATACAAAAAAAAAATCTTAGACGTGATTTAGTTTAGAATTAGTCATCAAACTAACTAGATTAATATGAATGTCATTTTTATTATAAATATCAAATAATTTGCTCAAGGTTAAATTATAAGTACTGCTTAATTTCTTCTATAATACAAATCAACATATGACAAATATTAAAAAAGATATTGACAATAGAATTAATAAAATTATGTTACAAAAAAAAACCTTTATCTCAATCAAAATCAAGTCTCATTAGTATTTGTTTTCTTTGACTAATTCATAAAAAACAAAAAAAAAAAAAAACGTCTTGTCTTATTTCTCGCTAATTAGCTGAAATAATTCTTGTATATCTATTTAAAATTATGTTTCTACTTATAGAATCAGTCTTTTATATCAATAAAAGACAACAACACTACTAATGACTTGATTATCATTGCATAGATAATGAAGATAAACATGAAGTTTTTTTTTTTCCTTTTTCTTCTTTTAGTTCTCATATGATTTTTTCTATTCTTTATCGTCAACAATCAATGAAATGGCTTAATGAACTTTCAAAAAAAATTCAAAATCAACAATCAATAAAATTTTTTTCATCAAATGTTCTTGCTTTGTATATAAGACGAAAATTTTTTGTTTCTTATGAATCAATATCTAATAATAATGAACAATCAAATCAAACATTAACATTTTTAGATTGGATTGATCTTTTATTTAATGGAAATTTTCGAGAACCAATTACTATAACAGAATGGCCTATGAAGTTTAATTAAAAAAAAGCTTTTTTTTTATTTTTTCGTGATCTAGTCATTCACTTGTCTAATCGTTTGTTCTTTTTTTTTTTTTTTTTCTTTTCTATTCTATGTACAGTAATATGGTCGTTATTATTACTGCTGTTTATCTCTCATGCTGTGTTCCATCAATTAGGCTCTCTGCGTGTGTATGTTGTATGTTATTTCTCGTTTTCTGTCTGGTGAAAAGTGATAGTCCACAGCAGTAGCATTCAGCTTGTACCGATCAAACTATAGTGATAATAAGCTTTCCTATGGTGCCCTTAGCAGGCGATGACATTGAAAGTGAGAACAGACGAACTTTTAGTTTGTTTTGTTGTTTTCTTTTTTTTTTTCAGTATTTATTTTAATTTTCAAATTCATTAAAAAAGAAAGGGAGGGGAAAAAATGATTAAATTTCAATTAGAATGTCTATAATATCCTTTTTCTTTTTCTTTTCATGCAAGTTTAATGATATAATGGATACGAACATTGACAAAAAAAAAAAAGAAAAACGAGATGAATGGACAATAGGTGAAATACATATTGAAAAAGAAAAAAGAAATAATAATCTACTTTAATAGGCCCCCCGAGTAGGTATTCAAGTGTGTGAGCACCTCATAATAATCATGTAGTTAAGTACGAAATAGGAAGCACATAAACGATGAATAAATATTGAATCGAAGCCAATTCTCTCTCTCTCTCGATGCGTTGATTTAAGCAAGCGCGCGTTCGTTCCATATGTATATTGACAAATAGCGGCCCGCGGCTACTATTGCTTTTCGGTGCAAAAAAACTAAGAGAGAGAGATTTGTCGTTGCATAGCGAATATAACATTCTCCTTTTTTCTTCTTCTTCTTCTTTTCTTTCTTTCGTTCTTTTTCTTTCTCAATCTATCCACCACACCGCTCAGCTGTTCTGTTTGTGCTCGCACACACATACACACACGCACACAAGTAACATCGGTCTTTTCGTCGTCGTCTTTACTTTGCCTTCTTATTTTCATCCATCTATCCAACTACGCATTATCCTCGAAAAAAAAAAAAAACAACAACGACAACGTCAACGATCTTTTCTCTGGTACTATCTTTCTTTTTTCTTTTTTCTTTTTATTATTTTGTTCTCAATAAAACAAAATGAATTTACGACGATCAATATCAACAAATAATACTCATATAACAATAACAAAGGTTTGTAGTTGACGAAAAATTTGCGATTTAACTCATCAGATTTGGTTGTTTTTTTTGTTCTTGTCTTTTCTTTCGAAAGAAAGAATAATATATTTTTTGAGGTTACTAAAATTCAATGAATAAGATTTTGTTTTTTTTTAAAATAATTTCGAAAGATATTTATTTCTTACCTTTGTACACATGACAAAGAACAAACAAAAAAACAAACAAACAAATAAATAATCTAACCATAATTTTCTGTGTCTTTTTTTTTTCCTTTTTGTATATATTCACACTCTTCTGTAGAATTGATATCGAGGTCAATGTAACTCACAGCAGACACATAGGAACGTCAGCATGTGCACACATACACACATAGAAAATCTGCTGCATCGTTTTTTTTCTTTTTTTTCCTCGCGCTTTCTCTCATTCTCTCGTTTTTCTTTTTTTTTTTCTTCTTCTTTTTCTCTCTCTCTCTCTCTCTCTCTACCATTACCATTCACTCCTATCAACTACAGAAGTAATACCAGTAACAATAATAATTTCTTTAATATAGATAATTCTTTTTCTATTATTAATCTATTTAATTTATAGTCTTTTGTCTTTTTTTTGTCTTTTTTTGGTTTTATTCAGATGAGTAATCATCATCATCATCATTATTCAATAACAACAAGAAATTCAACAACAAATGATTTTAATGAAACAATGAAAAAAACCCCATCACCTCGTCGTCAAATGACACGTTCAACATCTAATTTAAATAAAGATATGTCATCGTCTATAAATAATAATGAACAATGTATACAAGTTATTAAACCGGTTGCTGTACGTCCACCATCATCAGATTCAACACAAAATCCATATAATTTAAGATCACGTACTAAATTAAAAAATTCAACTAACAATAATAATAATAATAATAATAATAATATTGAAGTTATACCATCATTTACAGAAAAACTTTCATTAGAAACACCAATTATACAACAAAAACCGGTGCCACCATTAACTCGTGCTGCTGCTGCATCAGCCGGTGTTAAAATTGATTCATTTATATCTGATGAATCAATTAAAACTAATAATAAATTAACAACGACTACAATTTCAACTCGTTCGAGTACCACTCGAAAACGTAAAGCAAGCGAAGATGATCATCGACCATATTTAGATTTACTTAAAATGAAACAGGTAAAAGAAAATACTTCATATACAAGGTTTAACATTATATATATATATATATTCTATCGATACAATCGAGATTTGTATACTATATGAAATATAGAGAATTAGAAGTACATTGATAGAATTTAGAGCTTCATCAAACGGTCAACATAAATATACTATTTCATTTTTCTTTTGAATCTCTTCTTTCTTTCATAATATTATCGTCGTTGTCGACGACAATTGTTTATATTCTACATCTCAAGCCACCCACTTTCCTCTTTTATATGTATGCATGAATATATGTGTGATCAATTCTATTCATTGAAGCACGCAAAATGTCTCTATCACACATTATTTTTAAATTCTCAGTATGTATATATTATTCCATTATTCTCGTTTGTTGTCATGTCAGTGAAAGGTGCTAATGTACTCTTCATCATTGATTGTGTGAACTTTCTTTATTACTTTCTCGATATTCATTTGGATTATATGTATATACAAACATATCATCAGTCCATTTATCATTAACAAAACATAGAAAATTGTGTTTTTCAAATTTTCTCTTGTAATAAAACATATAAAAGGGTTGACAGATTTCTTGTTCTTAAATATATATGTATATATATATATATATTTAAAATGTTATTAGTAGTAATAGTTCTACTCATTATTGTTGAGTATTCTCATTAATGTTACTTGTTGTCGTCCTCATTTTAGATTTTGACAAGGCACATATAATAAATAAAGCAAAAAAAAAAGAATACAAGAGATAAGTAACTAAAAATGAATAATGATGAATTGTAAGAAAGATTACATCATATATATATATATATATATATATAATATGTATATAAATATAATACACTGACATTTCATGTTTCTTTCCTGCTGTCTCATTGAATCAGTACCCAAGAGAGAGGAAAAGAAATGTAACTGATTCGAGTCATTTATCATATTTTATTATTTCTCTTTTTTTTTAGACTCAGTCGACATATAGCTTTGATGGCAATTCACCAAAGAAGGTATGTCATGCATATATATACAAATGATTTTTATAAAAGCAAGCAGCAAGAGAATTTGTCAGAAGAAATTAACCAAAAAAAATGATTACGATGAAAAAAGAAACTTGTCTCATTTTTTTTCCCCAAGCGAACAAATTGAGTTGTACGAACAGCACATACATGTATACATGATTGACATTCGCACCTGTTTATCGTTTTTTTTCTTTTAGAACTATAAATAGATGATTTCATTGTATTAGATTTCATTTAGTTTTTTCTTTTTTAATTACAATTTAAAATCTACTAATTAGTACACTTGATGTTATGTAGAGAAAGCGAAAGACAGAAGATTTTTGATTGTCATTTCATTTCCGTTCATATTTTTTTTTTTGTGTAGATGACAAGACGTGCTGATCAAGATTGTATTGGAGTTGATGATGAAGATAGCGGATGTGATTATGATTCTCCAGCTCATTCTCCAGTCGACTTTACTGATGCTCCTCCCGGTCATGTATTTAACTATGAAGAATCTAATATGTCATATGATTCTGGATTTAGTACAGGTTCTGGTGAACAACATAAACAACAATATTCATCTCAATGTCAAACAATATCATCAGGATCTAACAGTGGTATAACGACACGAAGTAGTACATTAAATTCTAATAAATATCCTGCAGCTATTGATCTTGATGTTAATGCCATTGAACGAGACCTCGGTTTCTAGTTGTCAGTTTCTTATTTTGTCTTGTTCTATTACGAATACCAATTGTATTACTAGATTCGTTTGTTTCTTGCTACTTTGATGTTGTTATTACTGTTCACATGACCACCACATTGTGCGTGCCATCTTTCCTATTTCTTTTTTTTTTTTGCTGTCAGATGTGTGTTGGTATACATGCTTGTCATTTTCTTTTTTGTTTTCTTCATAATTGTGCCCATACACACACACATACACATACATACATAATGCCTGTAAACCGAGTCACACACAACTTGCACGGCTCTCTCTTTTCTTTTTTTTTTTGTTCTTCTCTATTAACTCCTCGTCGTTTGTCGTCCCGTAATTTTTTTTGTGTCTTGTATTGGCTCATTTTCTCCTTTATTCTCGTTAGATTTATAATTTAAAACAAACATGATCTACGTCCGGTTCGATCGGTGCGTTTTTCTTTAAAAAAATGAAAAACAGAAAAAAAATGCATTGATTAATGTATTATGTTAAACACAAAAAAAAAGCGTTTTGCTTTTTACTTTTTTTTTTCTCTTTTTTTTTTTTGTTCGACTTTACAGGATTAGTTTGCATCTTATTCTATTTATAAAAAGAAGAAAAAAGAAAAAAGAAGATAGTTTTCATAAAGAATATTTTGAATACTTTAGGATCAATCAAGATATATAGAAGATTTTGTTCTCTTTGTGTTGTTTTCAGAAGGATAGATTAATCTCTCTTAAATATTATATTAAGAGAGGATTGAATTCTCCTCTTAAGTTGATTGATAATACGAAACATGAATGTCAATATCGATCGTGCATTAATAAAAAAAAAGAAAAGAAAAGAATGTTGAATTTTTATCAGCAATTGATAAAATACTCATTTAATAAAGTGGGTAACTTATATTGAATTCAAGTCTTTCATGTTAATAATACAAAAAAAAAGAAAAAGAAATGAAAGGATTATTTTTATATTAATGATATTTTCTCACGAAAGAATTACCTCTATTGATTCTGCCTGTATTAGCTATAAAAAGATTTAGAATTAAATATTTTTAATCACAACTCCAAGTACAAGATATCTCGAGGTCGTCGCAATTAGAATTCTTAATATGGGACGAAGAGTAGGCGTTTGTAAGGCACCCTGGATTTCAAATCATAACAAAACAATTATAAAAAAAAGAAAACAATCGAGGTATTACAATGTTAAAGACAAAAGATTTTTTCAATTTCATCAAGATCTACATCATATGATAACATGGTTAATGTGCCTCGTAAGATAGTCAAGGGATTTCTTTGTTTGACTAGAAAGAAAAAAAATAATACTAATCAATTTAATCACTACAACGTGCATTTATTATTTCTAATGCTAAAATAACATTGGAGGTTTTTTTTTCTTTTAACTTGAAGGAATTATGATGAAGATCAAGAATTTATAGCTTTGTTATGAACTTTGTAAGATAGTCTGAACAGATCGTATGATCTTTCTCTCTCTCTCTCCCCTATGCATATTTGTTAAGTGAATGCTTTTCAATAAATAGTAATTCATTGAAATGTGCAAATTAAAAAAAATGAGTGCTCTCTCTTATATTTGTGAGTTTTCATTTCAAAAACGATGATATCATCTGTAAGAGTTCTACATTATTTTTTTTATATACATTTTAAAATTACAGTTGTTTATTTAATCTAATTATATGAAACATATTATAACAAATAGGAGTAGTACTTTGCTATTACTTTATGAGATAAAGATAAATGAATGATTTATTTTTAAAAAATAAAGTTAAATTAATCATTTATCTTTAAAAAATAAAGATAAAGTAAAGAAATAAAGGATTCTTTTTTCGAACGATAATGATGTTGAGAGTGCTCTAGAAGCACAGAATTTATGTTCAGAAAGATTTTTATCATCAAATAGATGTATTTCTATTGAAAACAAGCTAGTTGAGACATAATATGAATTATTGGTTTTTTTCTAATATTTAACAGGTTTCAATCACAAAAATGAAGAATGAATCAAAACTAATATTATATTCTGAATCAGCATCAAAAATGGAGCTGATCTATAAGTATTTCAAAAATTTTTGCGACTTGTTTTTTCATCGAAAAATTCAGCCGTACTCCCCCCCTCGGGATGGTTGCGTCAAAAAATGAATTTTACCAAAAAGAGGTTTCGGTAATAACAAACAAGCTCTTAAATTGTAAAAATGATAGTAGAACACAAAATGGGGAGTATTTACACAATAAAAACAGGGTTTCGTGCAGGGATGGATGAGTCTGAGTCGTGACTCGAACTCGAAAATCGAGTAGCGTTGACTCGACTGTTTGACTCGAGTCGTCCCGAGTCATTTATTCAAAAAAAGTTTCCATTTGCTCCTCTAAAAAAAACCTTGATTTGTAAGATTAGATTCTCACTTATTTAGAAATTTCGTCCTAATTGAGTACATTGTATCCGAATAATTTTTTCAAGAGCGTTTTTTTGGGTTACATGAATTTCGGTCCGGTCCGAAATTCCGGTGATTTTTCGGGTCAGGCCGAAATTCCTTGTGAACTTGCAGCCCATGACCTCATTGATCCCTAAAATAAAAAACCTAATTTTTTAAATTATTTGCTAGATATCGTAGTGCTGAGCAGGACGTCATAGTGTGGGTGTGGATGTGGGTGTAAATGGAGATGTTTGTTCTCTCTTCCTGCACACCCACACCCACATTGAAAAGTTTAATAAACAGAATAAACTAAGAAATTTACAGATACAACAAAGAATCAGGCGAGAAAAACAGATACACTCAATGTAAATGATGATGCAGATCGAGAATAATGCATCTAATTTGTGAATCGCGCACAATCCACTGTGAAGAAAACATGGGATACAACTTCGTTATATGAATGGCAAAAAAAAACGAAAAGGAATACCTTCATTATACTCGAACATATAGAGGAAATTAAAATTAATGAAGAAGAATAGAAATGGGTTTTACAAATGACAAATAGCATAATTAGTAAAAAAAAAGAAAAGCTTTTTCACACAATAGCATCTGTAAGACAAGGACATTAATGCACACAAAATATTTTGCTGCTGAGAAATGTCTTAACAAATCATTCTGAAACATTGAAAAGTTCGATAGAAGGTCATTCATCATTTCATCGAGTGAAGTACGTATTTGTGTTCGCTCATCCCTGATATCGCCAATTTCCGAGTAGTTATTTTCAATAATCGAGCCATTTTATTGAACAACCGATAACTCTAACTGGAGAACATCAACTACGAAATTCATATCATACTTTTAACCTACTGGCACAGAATGCCACTGCTTCAAATACAATTTGCTCAGCAGAACGCTATAACTATAGTATGATCTAAGTTCATCCTGTAGAGCACAACACCATCTCGCTGAGCACTATGACATTCTGCTCAGCACTACGTAATACCGCTCAGCACTATGACGTCCTGCTCAGCACTGCGATATCTAGCAACTAATTAAAAAAATTAAGTTTTTTATTTTAGAGGTCAATGAGGTCATGGGCCAAAAGTCCACAAGGCATTTCAGCCCGGCCCAAAAAAACACCGGAATTTCGAACCGGACCGAAAATTCCGTGGACTGAAATTCTGGTCTCTCCTTTTATTCGACCTGTAGATTCATGTCATCGTAAATGATAGCCTATACGTATTGTCGAATATGTGCATTTTTTCTTGCATTTTGGTTTCGACTCATAAAAGATCAATACTCATCTGTTAATAAGCTTTCTAAAACAAATAATATACGTTGCAAAAGTCTTTAGAGAAATGTCAAACTCTGTTAGACCATATTGTCGACTTCTAAACTGATCATTTTTTTTTTGTTAGAAAGAGTAATGTCTGCACTACAAATTTTGTATTGGACATATTTTTCCAGAACGAATCTAGAAGGGAGGGAAAAGCTAAAAACCAAACACCTTCAAAAATGTTCTTGCAACATTTTGCAACTGGAAGAGTCTGCATTTTTTCAATTATTTTGAGTTACATGGACCGAGTTCTAACAAAAAAATACGTCAAAATGTAGCGCATCAAAAACTCTACCGGTATCAGCTTTGCTAACACATTTTAGATCTACTTTTGACTCTTAAATCGAAAAAGTTTAAAAGATGAAATTTTTGTAAAATAAACTCTTTTGCAAGAACTATCAATTTGCAAGAATATCAGTCATCATCTTCAGAAACCACACATGAACTCAATTCCTTTTCTGTTGTTTGTTCGAAATATGTGAGATCATAGAAACTGACTAGAAAAAAATAATTCAAAAAATATTTTTTACAGTTGCAAACCAACCAGATAGTGAGAATGGCCGAATTATTGAGTCTATTTCAGAAAAAGCAATATTTTGATATAAAAGGTGAGAGTAAATATAACTTTCAATCCGCCATTGAAAAGAGCACTCTTTTTGCGACAAAAATCAGCGTTAAACGTATTTTTTCCATTCTCATTTAATATTAAAAAAATTTAACAGAAAATAGAAAATGATATCGCTCAATGATGAAGTTGCAAGAACATTTTTAGAGGTGTTTGCTTTTTGGTTTTTCCTCCTTCTTAGATTCGTTCTGAAAAAATATGTCCAATACAAAATTTGTAGTGCAAACATTACTCTTTCTGACAAAAAAAAATTTGATCAGTTTAGAAGTCGGCAATATGGTCTAACAGAGTTTGACATTTTTCCAAAGACTTTTGCAACGTACATTATGTGTGTTGCTGGCATGTTAGCATCAGATGAACATGTGTTTTCTCAAAGTGATCATTCAATAAGATCGAATTCTTTACGTTATACAAAAGCTAATATTTCTACTCTAACATCTTTTAAGTACAATAAGGCACTTAACTTAAATGGTAATAAATAATTTTTGCTTGTAAAGAGGTTTAAGGTGAGGTTTTTGCTTACAAAAGTATTATTTTTTTTTACTGTGGCGTGACGCTATGTAAAGTAGAAGACTTGATTCCATTGTTCTTATTTTGTTGGTTAGTCTAGATTAGTTGTGTGATTTTCTTCA